ACTAATTGTGTTTATGTGAGATACACAGGTGATTAGTCCATAGGTACATGTGTGTGAGCAACATATGCCATGAAGGTGAAAATGGCTTAGAGATGTTGCAAAGCTCACACATGTGATGATGAAGGAGCTCATTGCAAATGAGACATGACATTGAGTCATGTGATCAAAGTGGAGAAGATCAAGACATGACTTGGCTTGATGGACCGGTTGCAAGCGTGAAGGGCAAGTTGGAGGCTTTGGAGTGATGGACCACGTGGCGGTGAAGCTTAAGCAAGACTTGGCGCTAATGGACGAAGGCAACGGTGAAAAGCAAGTGAAGTCAAGATCGATGAACAAATATGATCGCGTGATGATACGAAGTGGATCATATCATTATTGATCATGTTGGTGCATGTTGCATCAACATTGGAGGAGATGGAATGGAATGCGCAAGGCAAAGGTATAACCTAGGGCATTTCATTTCACCGGTCATAGGTGTGTAGAGAAGTTGATGACTAGGTTTAGGATAGATGGCCGTACTATCAAGAGGGGCAAACTTGTTTGCATATCGATCATCTAGTGCCACTCGAGTGATCTAACTTTGCATCGTCGCTAGGATTGAGTGGCGTGGCAAGTTGAGTGGCTAGTCCTATGGAAAATGATTGCGAAAATGCTAACACATATACACATGGTGGTGTACACTTGGTGGTGTTGGCACATTTATAAAGGAGATGAAGTTGGAGTTGATGTGGATCAACTCGGCGGTGGAACGAAGGCGAGAAAGGTTCGAAACTCCACCGGTGGAGTGTCCTCCCGTAGAGTGCGGACAGTCCGATGGTGCCACTGGTGCCCTATACAGAAAAGACAAGGTTTCACAGAGTGCACCGGATGCTGGTCACGCAGTGACCGTACGCTGGGGTCCTGCGTCCGGTCAGTGGCAGCAGAGAACGCGCAGGTGTCGGTCTTCGACTGGACGCTGGCGTTGAAAGTGACTGGACACTGGCAGAGTGTGTTCGGTCGCACTGGTGATGCAGCACATAGAGGAGACAGTGAGTGACCGGACGCTGGGTGAGTCCAGTCGGGCGTGATTGGACGTGTCCGATCGTGAGTGGAGGCTTACTGGAAGTGACCAAACGCTGGGGTCCTGCGTCCGATCATACATTGTGCTGTGTCCGGTCGCAACTTAACCGTTGAGATTGGGCGCTCAGTATTTGAAGCCAGGGATGACGTGGCAGCCATCCGTTGATTGAACGCTGGCAGGGTGCGTTCGGTTGATCTGACGGGCGCGTCCGGTCAACTCGAAAAACGTCCAGTGAAGGGGTAACGGCTATTTTAGCCCGTGGGGCTATAAATAGAAGGGGGTCTCGGCCATGGCTTGAGCTGAACACCTCAGGGGACTTTGTGTCCATGCTTGAGAGTGCTTGGGAGCCCTCCATCTCACATATGCTTGATAGTGATCATCTGATTGTGTGAGAGAGCGATTCTAGTGCGATTGCATCGTGAGGTTGCATCGAGTGGCACTAGGTGATCGAGTTGCAAGCCGGTGGTGCTTGTTACTCTTGGAGGTTGCCACCTCCTAGACGGCTTGGTGGTGGTCTCCATCGAAGCCCGCAAGAAGCTTGTGTGGTGCTCCAGAGAAGAGCTTTGTGAGGGGCATTGTGCTCGCCCCGCGGTAGCCACGAAGAGCAACTCTAGTAAAGCGTGTCATTGAGCTACCCTCACTTTCGGGATAGGTTGTTGCGGTGCTCGACGTGCGGGCTTGGCGAGTGATGCCAATTAGCCGCCGAACCACCAAGTGAGCGGTCGACACAACGGGGACTAGCGTGTTGGCAAGCACGTGAACCTCGGGAGAAAAATCACCGTGTCAACTTTATTCTTCCCGTTGGTTTGCATCCTCATTACACAAGCCTGTAATTACTTTCATATACATTGTGCTTGTGTAGTTGCTCTTGTAATTAGTTTGCTTGTATAGCTCACTAGTTACCTTCTTGCTTGTGTAGCATAGAAGTAGCTCCCTTGAGTGACTAATTTGGTTTATGTAACCTTGTTAGTCACTTTGCTTAGTTTGTGTAGCTAAGTATTTGCGCTCTCTAATTTGGCATTGGTTGCCTTGTTATTGAGCATTGCTAGTGAGCTTAGTTGGCTTTGTGCTTTTGCTTACTAGCATGTGTAGGAGCTCCCTCATTGCTTGAAATACTAGTGGCATAGGTTTGTGTGACCTTGCTCCTAGAATTGGTTAGGTGAGCTCTAGCTATCCTGGCACCTTTGTTGCTTAATTAGGATCTTTGTAAGGTGCTAGAGAACATAGATAGAGGGGTGTAGTCTTGGCTAGACCAATAGTTTTAATTCCACACTTGTTTCGGTTAGCCGACGTGATTAAATTTAGAAACGACTATTCACCCCCCTCTAGTCGCCATCTCGACCCTACAACGACCCCGATACCCATGGCAGACCACATGGGTTGCGCCCCCAGGGGCGGCTTAGCCCACAAGACGAAGCCTTGTGGGGCACGGCGCTGCTCGACGCGTCCCGCAAGACATCGGGAAGATATCCTAAAGATACTACGAAATCACTTTCTAGTTATCCCCTAGATCTAACCAACTTGTAACCCTACCCTCCGGACTATATAAGGCAGGCAAGGACCCCCTCTAAACACACGCAGTATCATGCGATAGCCAATACAATCCAACAGACCACAGGTCGATGGTAGGGTAATGAGACTTGACATCAATTATCTCATCCTAGATTCTATCTTTCACAATATGGTTGTAAGGATCAAGATGGCTAGAGAGGGTGAATAGCCTACAAAAATTTCTTCTACAAAGCACAATTCACTATAGCATAGTGGTTAGTACAATAGATGACCCTAATAGCAAGTACTAGCACTAGCTCTAGTTCACTTTAAGCAAGCCCTCTACATAAGTCTAGTAGCAGTTGATTCTTTAACTAAAACGCTTCACCACACAAGGCTACTAGAAACTAAGCTACACTAGAGAGCTAAACAAAGAAGTAACTAACAACTAGTTACTACTAACAAGAACAACTACACTACTACAGAAAACTTAACTGAGGCGGGCAAAAACAATTAAACGAGGCGGGCATCCAATCCGCCTCCACGCAAAAGTCACGGTAAATCCGGCCTTAACGGAGGCGGTTGGTCGCCCACCTCGATAAATTAAAAAAAAATTAAAAAAAATCAAAACTCGTGGAAAAGCCCAGTGAGCCCACCCACGGGCCCACCGAGCCCATCCACAGGCCGCCGCTGTCGTTGCTTGCCGAAGGAGGAGCGATGCTCGCCTCGCCTGTCGGATCCACCTCCCCGCTGCTGGATCTGGCCTCGTCGATCGTGGATCCTCTGTCAGGAAGCGCGCCTGCCCTAGTTCCGCCGTTGGGGGGCAGGCCCGCCATAGATCTGGCCGCCCTCCACTGGATCCAGCCAGGGGCAGTGGTGGAGGTCCTCTAGGGTGAGGGAGGGGCCGCCTGCCACGCCTCCACCATTGAAGGAGGGGCCGCGCACCCCACGCCGCGTCGTCACCGAAGGAGGGGCCGTGCCCCCCTTGCCACGCCGCACCGCCACCGGAAGGGCCATGCCCTAGGCTCTAGAAAGGGAAAGGGAGAGGGAGGCCAGAGTGGAGAGGGAGAGGGAGGCCGAAGCGGAGAGAGGCGTGCTCGGTCTCGGTCTCGGGGAGGGAGAGGTGACTTAGTGGGAGAGGGAGGTGTGCGGTGAGACAGAGAGAGTGAGGAAGGAGCCAAGAAACCCTAAAGGTTCTGTATTTATACTTAAAGACGCTATCAGGCCTCACCTGGGCCTATTTGGGCCTTGGCCTATTAACCGAGGTGGGCCTTATAAGTGGCCCACCTCCAAAAAATGGGGGTATTTTCGGAGGCGGGCCACTTATAAGGCCCGCCTCCGTTAATAGATTTTAGAAGACGGTTATTTTTTAATTGCCCCTGTAAATCTATTTTATGAGGCGGTTGATTGTGACCGCCTCGGATAATCCCAGGCATTAACCGAGGCGGTTCAAATGCCCGCTTGCCTACGAGCCCCTTTGCCAAACGCCTCGGTTAGGTTTTATTGTAGTAGTTCTAGCTACTCTAGGCTACAACTAACAAGAGAGCAACCTCTAGTTAGCTACACAAACAACAAGCACTACACTAGCATGAATATATATATATATGGATAAAATACAAGTGTAGAGCTTATACCGATCCGGGCAAGAGAGATGACACAATCAATTTTTCGCCCGAGATTCAGTTGTTTGTCGGCAACTTAATCTCCGTTATGGCGAGTCTTATGGTGAGTGATTCACGCACTAACTAGCATCACACGCTAGACGCTCAACTTGGGTGTTGCAAGAATGACTCACACAAGTGCTCCTTCTAGCCACGTGTAATTTATTAGAGTATCCCCTTTGCACTCCGTGAGGCGGCATCTAGAACCTCGCCACAATCAACTTGATTGGGGGTAGAAACAATCACCAATTCCCCTCACCAATCACCGAAGCTCCAACCATCTAGGTGGCGGTAACCACCAAGAGTAACGAGAATGCCCAAGCTTCAACAATCACTAGTGCCACCAAGATACAATCCAACAATGCAATGCACTAGTGACGAATCAATCCTCTCTCAATGTGTTTTCAAGTGCACAAGTGAACAAGAGTGGGAGGTTTTCCTTAGCTCTAGAGTGAAGAAGGAGGTGTAACAATGTGCCAAGAGAGCTCCCCAAGCTAACGATCACTGGCTATTTAGAGCAACTTCAAAGAGACTCTTTATATTCGTCCTTTATATCTGTCCTAAATGTTAAGAATAGAAATTTTGAAAAAAAATATCATTCAACAGCTTCTTTCAATTGTTATACAAGCATAGCCATCGTATACTCCGGATCCCTCGCTAGCCATTTAAAATATATAAGCAGTGTTCATGATCAGGCATTTTATTTATTCATAATATATAAGTAGTGTTCATGACATATATAGGCACTAGTACTACTGCACGCGGCAACAATAGTCGTAGTCATATTCTCAGTCGCATCTGCTGGCTACCCTTCCAAGGACGTCGCAAAGTTCCCTGGCCTTGGAGTTCATGACGGCGTGGTCAGCGCCGGCGATCTCCTCGACCTCCGTGCCAGGGCTCATGGCCAAAATCCAGCGCTGCATCTCCTCGGTGCTGGCTTCGTCGGCCTTGGCCACCACGTACACCTTCTTGACGGACCCGTAGTTGGCGGCCGTCAGCAGCGCCTCGTCCTTCATCAGCGGGTCGTCCAGGAACTGGTTGCCGGGCCTCACCAGCAGCTTCGCCAGGGTCACATCCTCCGCCGGGCTCTCCTGATAATACTTCTCCTCCATGAACCTTGGACCCATCACGATCGCTGTCCTTTGCTGCCCGCCGGCACCTTCACTGCCAGTGCCGGTGATGGCACCAGTTGGCAGTCCATGAGCAGCCCTTCGGAAGCATCTCTTCTCATGAACTGCGTTCATCGCAAAAGAAGAAAAAAAAAATCAAAAGATATATATATTTGTGATTGTGACTTGAAACTTGAAACAATGGTTGGTGCATGTGCGTGTGTTTGTGTACCTCCTTGATGATAACGCCCATGTGTTGCCGACGCACGGCAGCGCGGCGGCCACGAACGCGGCGGCGGCGACCTTGCGCGGGAACCTCTCCATGACGAGCGCAAGGCTGAGGCCACCGTGGCTGTGGCCGACGAGGATCAGCCTGTCGCCGTCGAGGGCCGCGGCGACCACGTCCAGCAGTGGCCGCCAATAGTCCTCCAAGGAGCGCACCTCGTGCAGGTCCAGCGCTGTCACGCGGTGGCCACCTTGTACCAGCACCACGCGACGTGGCAGAGGCCGTGCACCAGCACGAAGTGCTTGCCGCCGCCGACCTCCATTGTTGCTGCTAGCTGTGCGTCGGTGTGGAGTGCTAGCTTGAGAGTTTGTGATGGACTGATCCTAATTGTCTGCTTCGATAGGTGTTGGTGTGCAGCCTGCAGGCTGGGGCGTGATGTTTATATAGAGGCACGGTGGTGATTGCCACTGCTTTTGTCATCACTTTCTGCCACTGCTTCGGTGTTGCCTCAATTCCTGGCAGCTGGTTTCGTTTATGGAACAGTTCTGAATTGAGTTGATAATGCACGAATTAATTAATTGAGGGATGCTTTATCAATACCTTTCGTTGGTGAAAAAAAATACTCCTCCTTTCCAAATTGTAAGTTGATCTAGCTTTTGTAGATATATAACTTTTGCTACACATATTGATATATATTTGTCTAGTTCATAAAAATTATGTATCTACAAAAGTCAAAACAGTTTATAATTTAGAGCGGAGGAAACACAAGTTTAGAACATCACAAAGTCAAACTATATCTTCACTTTGACTGAGTTTATAAACACAAAAATTTACATAGTATATCGATTTAGTGTCATAAATACTAGTACACTCTTCAACTTACTCAATTTTTAGATAGTTTAATTGGAGCTTTAACAAATAGAGGTAGTATATGATTCTCTGTTCATCCATCCACATACACAAAGCCGTTAGAAAGAAAGTGCTTGTATCGTTGCTATCCTTTTCGGATCAAGTAATTATGTTTCTGACGTCTTGAATATGACAATGTATTTAAAAACGAGAAAAAATAGATTTAGATGAAAGGAAATATAAAAAACTTGAGCCCTCGCGTCGTGAAGAAAAATTCTACTTAACCACCCAAGCTATTAATAGTTATCTACTCCACCGGCTCACCTATAAAACAAATAAGTTGCTATAATATAAGATGTATGCAACCGGATTTTGGTTGATATGGTCAGCATGACAGTTGCTTGATATGGGATATGGCGACAATGCCAGGAGGTTGGACGACATGCGACTGTTCGTTTCGCTAAAATTTAGCTTATGCTGATTTGTTGTGTGAGAAAAATATTGTTGTTAGTTATAAAGTACTGTTGAAGTAGTGCCGATGAACAGAGCCGCAAAAATCAGAGAAACTTATCTTTCAGTGTTGGTAGTGTATTGTGATGTTAGCAGTGAGGTAGATCCTGCGGAGTGCTAGATTAACGAGGTGTTTGGTTGCCCCTCTTAAATTTTAGTTGTTGTCCTATCAAATATTTAGATACATGCATGGAGTATTAAATATAGATTAATTACGAAACTAATTGCATAGTTTACGACTAATTTGCGAGACGAATCTTTTAAGCCTAATTAGTTTTTGATTTGACAATGTTTTGCTACAGTAAACATGTGCTAATGACGGATTAATTAGGCTTAAAAAATTCGTCTCATGGAGTACTGACAGATTATGTAATTTATTTTTTTATTAGTATCCGAATCCCCCATGCAACATCCTCCCGACATACCTCCTAAATTTTAATCACGGAACCCAAACACCCCTGTGTATGAAACGGTGACGTGGAAAGTTGTACGATGAAAGTTGTATTGTGATTTTATCTTTCATCCTCCATCTCTGATTCTGCGGTCTGTCACTGTTCACCAAACCAGCCTCTGGAATATCCTTCCATATAATCTGACTTTACTAAACAGGCCACTTGCTGTGATTTTGGAAGATGTCCGCCCACCCTATTGGACTAGATGTCTAAACTGATCATACTGTTACAAGAGAGATATGAGAAGAGACAGGTCCTTTTTCGGTCCTTTTTCCTTAACTCAACAATTAATTTCAACATATATGTTCAATGTTTTTGTTCCACCTTCACAAGAAACATCTAAAAATGTTTCTAAAATGTATAAAAATACATGTGATCCGCTTAAAAAATAAACACAAAAAATAATTGCTTCATCTGTAGAAAAATGTCATCTTCACAACAAATCGTTCCAGTCTCACATGAAAATATTCAACTTCACAAACAAATGTTCTAGCTTTACGATACAATACATCTAGCTTAGGTTTAATATTCTACTCACTTCATTCTAAATTATAAATTATTCTGACTTTTTTAGGTACATAATTTTTTATATACATTATGTTTAGATACACTGTAAAACCTATTTGTCTAGAAAAGTCAGAACAACTTACGATTTGAAACGAAGGGAGTATAAAATATAAACACTATAAATCAAGCGAGAGTTTATAATGCCCTATAAAATGTCACTGAACGGGACAATTCGCCACCTGGATGAATGCCGGGCAGCGAACTTTGAAATAGTCAGCCTTTGGATCCGGCCAAACAACCAAGAAACTTGAGAGCAACTCCAACGGAGCCCTCAAATTAGGGTCTCTACTTTTGATTTGAAGTCTGTCGATGCGGGACCCACGGGATACCCCGTATGGATGAGGGAAGATCTAGTATAACTAGGATTCTTTCTATGCAATCTTAGTAGTAGTATTATTCTGTAATCCTACTAGAAACTCTCATTGTAAACCGACTAGGACTCTGGCCTCCTGACTATATAAAGGAGGGCGGGGTTCCTAGGCAAAGGACTCCAGAGATAACACTGGACCATCAATCTAACGCAAAGGCTAACGCCGACTGGAGGTAGGACTATTACTCGATCACAATCGAGGGCCCAAACCAGGATAAATCGACCGTCTCTTGCGTTTACCGTCGAGTTCTGCATACGCTGAAGCCCAAACATACTGTCCCGGGTACCCCCGTGGTAGGCTATCGGTGGTGAAACATCGACAGCTGGCGCGCCAGGTAGGGGCTTTCGGCGAATTTGCATCCGAGAGCTCGACGGACCTCGACAACATGATCTTCTCGACAGGATCGACCTTCATCTTCGGCTCATGGATCTACGAGGCGGACGACAATGGCAAGCTCCAAAGCCGTCTCCTTGAAGATTTGGATCACCATGAAGACCTTTCTATTTCGACGACTACGATAGATCAACTCGCTGGAAGATTCGCGCAGCTCGTGATGTCCTATCCAACTCAGATTTTGCGGCTTTGCGCATCCGATTCAAACTCAGGCTCCGCATCCGAGATGGAGTTTTATCTAAGTTCTTTCGAGAAACCGAGTTCTTTTCTGATGGGACTCCAGAACGCGGCCTCGGCCTATCAAAAATACAACTCAGAGTACACTCAGAGTCTTTTCAAGAAGTCAGATCCTTTTCCGTTCGGATTCCACAACATGGCAAAATCTTATCAGGCACGGCTCGAAGGGTCCCTCGATCCGGTGCTCAGAATGACACTGAAAGGAGCTCAGGAAGGTCTTGTACTAACTATAACATCTCAAGACTGCATCGTCCACTGGCCGGGTTCTGTTCCTGAGGATAGCGGTACCCGACTAGTCGGCACGACGACAACAACAATTCTACCCTACCAAGAAGGAGACTCGATCTGCGACCTTGAAGCCTCTAATAAAATTATCAACAACTCCGACAGTGTGGAAACCAACGCTGATAATAGAACAATTCACGCACGAGAAGTATTCATGGTTCGCCGTCCTCGATCACCACTGGTCCCCCCAGAAGCTCCCGACATCAGGTCATCGGATGAATCTGAGTCCAACATATCACCCTTCATCTAGGGGCACGATGGTGAGGCCGAGAATCAGAAGCAAGCCAGAGAAAGACGAAACAAATTGAAACAAGGACGCCAATGCCATGCTAGGCAGCGCAAGGAAGCTTGGATCAGATATGAGTAAGATCTGGCCGAGTACAACAGAAGAAAATCAGAACAAGAAGTCGAAGAAAGACGCACGGCAAATACACCCTATAATAGGATCCGAGAAGCACTAGAAGAACTCGAAGCAACATCACATCCCAGTGAAAAATAGGAACAGCTCCGGGACCTTCTCTGGTCAGCAGCCCTAAGGATGCACGACGGAAGGACCCACTCAAGACTACCTGCCAAGTCAACATCTCATAGGAAGGAAGATCAAAATCAAAGGAAGTCCGCTTTCGAGAGACTTGGACCAAGTGGAAGTCACAACAGAGAAAGTAGAAGGGACCACAGTCAAAACTACCGAGTTGAACAACCAAAGATCAGAAGCAAAGCACCCATTTGGACAACCTCGCAGAACTACTCTCACCAAAACAATAGTTGGCTGGAAGGAGGTGCTGAATCAGAATACAAAGAAGCCGGAACGCACGATAGATTCCCCTATTTTGCAAACAGACTTGCTTCAAAACGACTACCTCACACGTTCAAGCCGTCCAACCACTCTAAATACGATGGCAAGACCGAACCAAGACAATAGCTCAGGATTTACTCACAATCGATTGAACTAGCCGGAGGAGACGACGATATCAAGACCTTGTTCTTCCCCATGGCCCTAGAAACCATGCCCCTCCAATGGTTCGACAAATTAAATCCAGGATCAATCAGAAATTGGGAGGACTTGCAAAGAGTTTTCTATGAAAATTTTGCGGGTATCATTACGCACCCCATCACCCACGCAGAATTAAAAGGACTCAAGCAGAAATGAGGCAAAAGTCTCAGAAATTACTATCGACGATTTGGCAAACTACGTGCTCAAGTACATGACATCACCAAACGAGAAGTAATCGAAGCTTTCTCTCACAGAATCATGGCTAGATGGCAATTTTAGGACTTCTGCAAAGAAAACCCGAGAAACAATGAAGAATTCAGACGCATAGTAGAAAAGATGATTACTGCAGAAGAGAAGACACGAGAAAGGTTTCCGAATAGAAACAACCGAGACAACCCGGGCAAGCAAAATCATCGAAACATCAGACATCAGGAAAGGAAACGTGGATCAGACAACACCGTAGCGGTGGCTGACAAATCAAGGAAGTTTTCCAAACCCAAAAGATATGATGACATCGAAAACATGCATTGCATCTGGCACCCTAAAGGAAATCACACCATCAGAAATTGCTTCACCTTCAATGATCGATACATAAGAAAAGATAGTAAGGGAAACACAAAAGAAGACAATCAGAAAAAAGATGAAGACAACCACGAAGACAAGT